TTTACCCACGCTATTATAATATAAAAAAAGCTATAAAAAAACTACTTAAAAAATATAAGTCGCTCACAAAAATACACCTTATTAACTATATAATATAGGATATGTAAAAAAAAGGTATATCATAAGTTTGAGCTATAAAATTCTCACGTTAATAAGTATAAAATGCACATCATCCGGTACCTAACGACTTCTCTTTAGAAAGAAGAGCAAAATAATTGTATTACATTGAAAGCATTTTTTGTATATACATACATGTTTTATAAAAATTAAAATAAATAAGTAAGTTTTCTCTGATTGAAATCAGGTTTTAAAATTGTATCAAAAGTGTATAAAAAGGCCCAGTTTTCTGGCAGTTTGTTGTTTAAACATATTTAAAAAAAAATAATAATCACAAATTTATAGTAGTAAAACAGTGACGGCTCAATAAGTTTAAACGATTTTCAAATATATTGATATATTTTGTAAGCTGTTTCGCAACACAATTAATGAAATACATACCTGGAAAAGTTACAACTTTATTCTCTTTTTGGAAAAAATTGTCATGTGACCCTCAACTGCTAATAATAATAAATTTAAAATTGCTTAAAATCCTAAATAAATAAACAGCCTTAAAAAGTCAGAAACGGGCTGAAATAATTGTTGATTACACAAAACAAAACAAACATCGACGAAATAACTTTATTAATATTCCCATTGGGTGGCGTTTTCTATGGAACTGTCGCCCATTCGGAAACATCCGTTTTTGCTGGCAGTCAAATAATTTCCTGTAGTGGTTTTGATGCAAAGACGTGTCGGCTCTCGCAATTCCAAATAGAAACCTTCCGGGGTGTCGGAGTCTTCTGTAACGCCCTCGCTATCGTAATGCCAGTATTTTTGGTTTTGACCTGAGAAAAATTTCAATTACCTATTTAGCAAACATTGAAGAGAATACATGAAAATGTAGGATTCTGATTGGCCATGATTTATAGTCAAAGGTAAGATTTTACCGAAGAACTTTACTCAATTTTGACCTCGAATTTTACTCATTTTTACCACGAGTTTTATTAATTTTTAACCGGGAATTTTACTCACTTTTCACTGTAGACCCACTTTCTATGATTTTTTTTGATTTTTATGATTTTTGTAAATTTTTATGAATTTCGTGATTTTTGTAATTTTCTTGATTTCCTTAAATTTTTATTTTTTGTGAATTTTTATGGTTTTTCGAAATTTTTATGATTTTTTATAACTTTTGAAAAATTCTTAATTTTTATGGTTTTTTCGAATTTTTGTAATCTTTTGCAATTTTCTTAAATTTTTATGATTTTTGAAATTTTCATGATTTTTGAGAATTTTTATAATTTTTGGAAATTTTCATGCTTTTTGTGAATTTTAATGATTTTTGATATTTTCATGATTTTTGTGATTTTTGTAAATTTTCATGATTTTTGTAATTTTCCTGATTTTCTTAATTTCCACGATTTTTTCGAATTACATTTTGTAAGTTTTTTAAATTTGTATAATTTTTGTAAATTTTCATGATTTTAATTTTCATAAATTTCTATAATTTTTTGTGAATTTTTATGATTTTTGAAATTTTCATGAGTTTTATGATTTTTATAAATTTTTTATGATTTACATGATTTTTGTAATTTTCATGATTTTTTCGAATTATTGTACTTAATCTTTTGTAATTTTCTTAAATTTTTATGATTTTTATAAATTTTCATGATTTTTGTAAATTTTCATGATTTTTGATTTTCATAAATTTCTATGATATTTTGTGAATTTTTATGATTTTTGGAAATTTGTATGATTTTTGTGAATTTTTATGATTTTTAAAATTTTTTATGATTTTCTTATTCTTAAGTTTTATGGTTTTTTTCGAATTTTTGTAATCTTAAATTTTTATGATCTTTGTAAATTTTTAATATTTTTGATATTTATAAATTTCTATGATTTTTTGTGAATTTTTATGATTTTCGTGAATTTTTATGATTTTTGAAATTTCCATGATTTTTGTGATTTTTGTAAATTTTTATGATTTTTGTGACTTTTGTAATTGATTCTGATTCTCTTAGTTTCCTTGATTTTTTTAAATTACATAATATTGTAATTTTTTGTAATTTTCTTAAATTTTTATAATTTTTTCATGATTTTTGATTTTCATAAATTTCTATAATTTTGTGTATTTTTATGATCTTTGTAAATTTTCAATATTTTTGATTTTCATAAATTTCTATGATTTTTTGAATTTTTATGAATTTTGAAAATTTTTATTATTTTTGTGAATTTTGTGAATTTTTATGGTTTTCATGATTTTTGGTTTTCATAAATTTTTATATTTTGTGAATTTTTATAATTTTTGAAAATTTTCATGACTTGAATGAAAATGAATGAAATTTCTATGATTTTTAATTTTCATAAATTTCTATGATTTTTTGTGAATTTCTATGATTTTTTGTGAATTTTTATGATTTTTGTGGATTTTCATGATTTTTGCAATTTTTCTGATTTTCGTAATTTCCATAATTTTTTCGAATTATTGTAATGTCATGATAATTTTCTTAAATTTTTATGATCTTTGTAAATTTCCATGATACATACTGTAATTTAAAAAAATCATGAAAATTTTAAAAATCATGAAAATTCACAAAAATCATAAAAATTCACAAAAAATCATAGAAATTCACAAAAAATCATAGAAATTTATGAAAATTAAAAATCATAGAAATTTACAAAGATCATAAAAATTTAAGAAAATCACAGGACAATGCAATAATTCGAAAAAGTCATGGAAATTACGAAAATCAGAAAAATTGCAAAAATTTACAAAAATCACAAAAATCATGAAAATTTCCAAAAATCATATAAATTCACAATATATCATAGAAATTTATGAAAATCAAAAATCATGAAAATTTACAAAAATTATAAAAATTTACAAAAATCACAAAAATCATGAAAATTTTAAAAATCATAAAAACTCACAAAAATTATAAAAATTCCCAAAAAATCATAGAAATTCACAAAAAATCATAGAAACTTATGAAAATCAAAAATTATGAAAATTTACAAAACTCATAAAAATCTGAGAAAATTACAAAACATTACAATAATTCGAAAAAATTATGAAAATTACGAAAATCAGAAAAATTGCAAATATCATGAAAATCATAAAAAAATTTATAAAAATCACAAAAATCATGAAAATTTTAAAAATCATAAAAATTCACAAAAATTATAAAAATTTACAAAAAATCATAGAAATTCACAAAAAATCATGGAAATTTATGAAAATCAAAAATCATGAAAATTTACAAAATTCATAAAAATTTAAGAAAATTACAAAACATTACAATTCGAAAAAAATCATGGAAATTACGAAAATCAAAAAAATTGCAAAAATCATGAAAATCATAAAAAAATTCCAAAAATCAAGAAAATTTCCAAAAATCATAAAAATTCACAAAAAAAACTAGAAATTTATGAAAATCAAAAATCATGAAAATTTACAAAAATCATAAAAATTTAAGAAAATTACAAAAGATTACAATAATTCGAAAAAATCATGGAAATTAATAAAATCATGAAAATTACAAAAATCATGTAAATCATAAAAAATTTATAAAAATCATAAAAATCATGAAAATTTCAAAAATCATGAAAATTTAAGAAAATTACAAAAGATTAAAAAAATTCGGAAAAACCATAAAAATTAAGAATAGGGAAAATTACAAAAATCACGCAAATTATAAAAATTTACAAAATTCACAAAAATCATAAAAAAATTTAAAAATCATAAAAAATCAGAAAAATCATAAAAATTTAAGGAAATCAAGAAAATTACAAAAATCACGGAATTCATAAAAATTTACAAAAATCACAAAAATCATGAAAATTTTAAAAATCAAAAAAAAATTTACAGAAATCATGAAAATTTACAAAAATCATAAAAATTCACAAAAAATCGTAGAAAGTGGGTCTACAGTAAAAAGTGAGAGTTCTTCGGCGAAATATGAGTAAAATTCCCGGTCAAAATTCAGTGGAATTCTTCTGTGAAATATGATTAAAATGAGTAAAAAGCGAGTAAAATTTTCGGTCAAAAATGAGTCAAATACTTCGGTAAAATAAGTAAAATTCCCGGTCAAAATTCGAAATTCTTTGAAAAATGATATCTGTCAAAAATAAGTGAAATTCGCAGTCAATAATGAGTAAGTCTACAGTAAAAAAATTCCGGGTAAAAATTGAGTAAAATTCTCTTATCGAAAAAAAATCTTTGTCAAAAATCAGTAAAAAGTGAATAAAATTCCCGGTTAGAAATTGATAAAATTCGTGTTTAAAAATTAATAAAATTCGTGGTCAAAAATGAGTAAAATTCTTCGGTAAAATATGAGTAAAATTCCCGGTCAAAATTCAGAAAAATTCTCCTGTGATAAATGATTAAAACGAAAGAAAAATGAGTAAAATTTTCGGTCAAAATTAGATTAATTTTTGTGATTTTTGTAAATTTTTATGATTTCCGTGACTTTTGTAATCCTGATTCTCTTAGTTTCCATGATAATTTTAAATTAATGTAATTTTTTGTAATTTTTTTGAATTTTTATAATTATTGTAAATTTTCATAATTTTTGATTTTCATTAATTTCTATGATATTTTGTGCTTTTTTATGATTTTTGAAAATCTTATCGGTTGTGGGTGTAGTGGCACTCTCGGTAGTACTCAAAAAATTTCCAAAATGTGTCCTTTATTTGAATAAACGAAAGTTGGCAACCCTATGTTTGATGTTTGAAGATTTTGAAATTAAAACTTAAAAGAAGTAACTAACTACCTTTGGAAAAAGTGACAAAAACGTTCGTCAAAAATGACTTTGTAGATGATTCTCAAATGATAATTTCAATTAGGAAAAAAATCCAAAACGAAATACTTCAACTATTTTGGATAATGTATAGATAATTTTTAAAATTTTGACTCTTGGTAATTACTATATTGGCAACAGAATAATAGAAGAAAAAATCACCTTTAAAATACACAACTCCTTTTTCACCCCTCTCCACTTGTATCGTTTCGTAGGTGGCCTTGTTGCACTCCAACTTGCCATTTCCGGCCGCCTTGTACCCAACAAAACCCTGTTCGCACTTCAGAACCAAAATCGGCCTGTTGACCAGATAAAAGTGGTACTTGCAAGTGTCGTCGTCGATGACGTCGCTGTTGGCGAACAAGTGGCCGCTCCGTTTGGTCATCACGTAGCGTCCGTTGTTGGCGCGGAACGCGACGGATCCGTCTTTTTGCCAGATGAGGTCGAAGAGGGCGTTGGAGGATCGTTTGTCGCCGGCCGCCTGGATGCCGCCGCCCGTTTCCAGAGTCCAGTATTTGTCTTGCATGGTGCGGATGTACCAGCGTTTCGTGCTCCAGTCGAATTCCAGCTGGAAGGTTTCGTGGTCGGAGATTTCTTCTTGGTTGGCTGTCAAATCCACACCTGGAACAATAGGATATCAATGATAGGAGTTCAAATGATAATGGCAAAGTTCTACTATAGTTATAATATGAGTATTATATTTAATTACAATTAATAGCGAGGTATGTATCTCGTTGCTTTTACCGAAGTAGATGAAAAGAAAGATAAGAAAACCCTTTCGAAAATAGTCTTGTCTGTGGATAAGTTGAATTATTCTCACTTGAAAACTGCTACGAAAGCTAAAGTTGCGTGGCAAAACTTAGGAAAAGCTTTTGAAGATTCAGAAGTCAGAAAATAGATTGGACGTTTAAGGACTTTAGTAACTACCTAGTTAGAAGATTGTAGTTAAGCAGAAGAATATTGTGACACTATTATTTCGACATCACATAAGTTAAATGAACTGAAGTTCAAAGTGGAAGATAGGTGGGTCGGTACTCCCTTGCTGGCAGGGTTGCCGGAAGAATACAATAGGTCTATGACTACGGGTCTTGAGAGTAGTGGAGCACAGATTAAATTCAATAAAAATAAAGATGTTAAATCAAGTTCTGATCCAAAAACAGCAATGTAAATGTAGTGTCCAGGTGAAAAGTTTACAAGATACAAAGTTAGGAACTTTGGATGTGGCAGAATGGGTCACTATAAATCTCAGTGTAGAACAGGCAGCTCAGAAGGTAGGTACTAAAGGTGATGAAAATTAAAGCAGCCATAACGCTTTTCTAGCATATTTATCTTCCCAGGAAGTAAATAGTGATTCTTTTTTTCATTTAACCAAAAATAATGAGTGGTTAGTCAATTCTACGAGAAATAGTGGAAAAATCAAGACTGCGAATAACAGTTACATGAACATTGTTTTCAAAAGGGACAAAAGAATATCAGTGTGCTGGGAAATAGTAAGTATAAGTAAGGTAAGATAGCAAGGATGATACACACTACTACTACAGGATGGCCTATCCTCATAAGGCCTGTGTGTAACAAATCCCCCCCTACCTCCCCAAGCCAAACAACCAGTTGTGACATAAGCAACATGGCGTTTCTCGCCTTGACGTAAGTTCTTAGAGCAGGAAAATAAAGTAGTAGTTGGAAAATGAAGCCGTTTTTTTTCCAGGTATTTTGGCACTTAAAAAGTGGCGGTATAGGAAATTCAATGCTTTACCTGTCGTTTGGTGTACAAACATCTGCCAAAAACTAGCTTTACTTTAGTTTCATAGCAGAATGGCGCGTTCTTACTCCTTATGCCCGTAGGACAGCGCTTTACCTGCTCTAAGCGTAAAGCTTACTTTTCATGCATCCGTTTATCCGTCGATCCGTTTATCCGGAAGGATTCCTATTGGTTCAATATTCTGGCGCCAAAATATTGGACCAATAGGAATACTCCCGGATCAACGGATTGACGGATAAACGGATGCATGAAAAGTAACCCTAAGTTGTTTAAACAGCTGACGTCTTAGTTATGACGTCGGCAATGGTTGAAAACCAATATGGCGGCGATTACCAAAAACGAGGCCGATAAGCACTCCTTAGAGTGTGTATTCTCCTTGAGTAATAGGAAGAGAATGCAGTTGCTCTCAAGAATATCTTACTGGTTTGGACAAGATAAGAATTGTGTGACAGAATACACTGGAACACGGTTTTGTCTACTGATAATGGATTGGAAAGCTTTCATTCTGTCATTAATGATATCTTTATCTTTAATTTGGCATTTATTCTTGGTAAAATGAAGAAGAAAAAGAGTAGGCCTTGGTATACTAAGGTTCTACGTTTCTCTGATAAAAACATGCGCTATCTTCAATACATAAGGAAATTTCAAATTAATAATGCTAATTTTATCAAATACTTCAATAAGTACCGTAGTATCTATAGGGCTACTATTAAACTTCCCAAGAAGTTCTGTTATCCTGGAAAATTGTCAATGACTTGCCAGGGAAAAGTGAAGTTGCATCTGTTTCTAGTTCATTACAGGCTAACAATCTCAATAACTTCTATTGTTTTATTGCCACTAAATTATCTCATGCCTCTTTATAGGGGCGGAGAACACGACACTCCCTCCAACTTTCGCCCAATTGCATTGTTGCCAATCTTGGCTAAAATGGTGGAAAGGTTGGTGAAGGCAAGGATGGTATCTTACTAGGGATCATAACTATATGAGCACGCAGCAATTGGGATTTCAGGATCAAATGGGTAGTGGGTACAGATGATGCCATTTTTGACTTCCTCGAGCATCTGTATGTCCGACTTAATGATGGAGAGGTTGCTGCAGCGGTATTCTATAATCTGTCTAAAGCATATCATTGTGTGGATCACGGAATACTGCTGTGAAATCTGGAGAGGTATGGTTTTAGGGTTGCGTCGTTGGAGTGGTTTTGAACGTATCTGTCTGGACGCGTTCAAACCGTGATCTTTAACGATGACTCCTTGGTGTTGGTGCTGGTGTTCCCCTGCGGGCTTGATATTGGGACCACTGCTTTTTCTGATGTATGTAAATGATCTTTCACATTTTCCCATCAGAGGTAAATTTACTATTTTCGCCGACGATACCACCAACCTCTGGCATGATTCAGATGCTGAACTTCTTGGGCCTTATGGAAGGCGAACCAATCATGCGACTCTCAACGCAAGCAAGTTCCTGGGATTAACAATAGATACTTTGAAGTTTGAGGACCACATATTTATTATCTATAATAAAAACTGTTCTGTATATTATGCTCTCAAAGTAATTTCCGAAAATCTGGATCCATCCATTGCCAGAAGCTCTTACTTTGAACTGGTCGAATCCCACCTTCGATATGGTATTAGTTTCTGGGGATGTTGTCCTCAATACCATTTTGACTCTGTATTTATTTTGCAGAAAAGGGCAATAAGTGCATGTGTGGTGCAGGGGTTCGTGATTCCTGTCGGCCATTGTTTGTGAGGCTTGATATCTTGACTATCTGTTGTTTGTTTATTATGGAAACAGTCTGTCTCGTTTTCAAGAAGCATGGACATGAGATTTCTGCAGATGGTCATTACAATATGCGTCAGACTCACACTCTCAGATTGCCTATCCCACATTCGGGACTGGGGTGCGATTTTCGAAACCATTCGAGTACATTTCGTACACGAAATTTGACTGCTCCCCATTTAATTTACATTGCCGTCAGTCAAATTTCGTGTACGAAATGTACTCGAATAGTTTCGAAAATTGCACCCCTGGTTCGGACCTCTATAATTTACGGAGGGAAAAAAATGTTTAACCATCTCTCCTTATGCTTGAAGAGGCAGACTATGTTACAAAAGCAGCAAACGTTTAAGTTCTATTTTGTGTACTATTTCTCAAATTAATATTTTTATAAATAATTGTATTTATTTTAAACATTTTTTAATGGTGCCTTATTAGGAGCATAGTGATCCAAATAAGGCCAATAGTGAGCGTCTATGTTTTACGCAAAAACCACCACTTATATAAAAAAATAAATAAATTGGAATTATTATTCAAGTAATAGAAGCGAAACACTCCACATAGTAGCTTGTGATTTTTGTTGGGTTTGGTGGATAACTTTAGGAAAAAATTAAACTTCTTAACCTGGCCTTATTTGGGACAGATACCTCAATGGTACTAGCAATACCAACATAACAAAAAAATCATGGCCTACACTATTACTACTATAAATATAAAAAACGACTTAAACGACCTGAATCTTTTGAAGAATAATCTTCTTACTTCGATAGAGACCTTATCAGTGCAGAACAATCTATATTTGGAGGAAATCATGAAACTAAAGAGTGAACTATGTATTAGCTCGAATAAAGCGGAAAAAGAACAGTCATTAGCTCCCAGCCAGGAAATACCTAAACCTGCCACTGATAAAATAACCAAGAACCAAATCCTTCTGTTTGGTAACAAGTCTTGTGTAAGTGGAACTGGGTTACTTGTCAAATCTTTTTGTCAGAGCAAATATGATATAAATTGTCAGTACTCTAATTTCAAAATGCCAGCGGAAACACTCATTAAACAATTTGCCCCACTAAGTAAAAATTTCACAAAGAAAGATTTTGTCGTATTATTTGCTGGGATGGTCAATGCTTTACAAGGAAAAGTCATCGATGAGTCTTGTTGGGATACAATCTTTGAAATATGCAACAGAACCAACTTAATCATAGTCACTCCTCCTTACTGTGACAGCAGAAGAATTCTCAACAATTTTATTTACAATTTTAACTTGGACTTCAAAAAGCACCTGTACCAGAGGTGTATCGAGTGCTATTACTTACCCAGTGATAGCCTCATGTCTGCTTATGAGCGAAATCGAAATGGCTACCTGGATTATGAAATCAAGAGAAGGTTGTCCAGATTCATCTGTAATCAAGTAATTAACCAAGAATATAACAACATGCAAAATTTTCCACCAGGCAACCACCTTCCCACTCAGCCTTAGGCAACACAACATCAGATCTAAACACCTTAACCATTGAAACGAATATTCTTGAAACGGCAAATTCACAAAATAGAAACATCACAATTTCATACCAGAATGTTCGTGGACTGAGAACCAAAACGGTGCCATTTCAGCAGGAAGTACTAAACTGTGATTATGATGTTATTGTGCTGACAGAGACATGGCTGAACGACGGAATCACCGATGAAGAATTATTCCCTCCAAACTACATGGTATATAGAAGGGATAGAGAGCCAGATCAAACAAATAAATCAAGAGGCGGTGGTGTTCTCATCGCATTGGAATGTTCTTTCGAATCATCAATTTGTACAGTTCCTGATAACGAAGTTGAACAAATCTGGGTCAGTATACAATTTGGAAATGACAACTACATTGTGGCAGCACTCTATGTACCACCATCCTCCAAAGCCGCAGTTTATGAGGACCTTGTAACTTCCGTGAGTTATGTCCTTGACCATTTTCCGTCGACTAAGGTCTTGCTATTGGGAGACTTTAATTTGCCTAGCTACGAGACCTCGTTTGTTCAAGTTGAAACTTGTGATAAAGTGGATGTTGATAATAATATTTGCCTCAACTTGTTTTCTACTAACAGTGACTGTGACTTTGATAAGATATTTACTTCGAACAATGAGTGTGAACAAATACTTTTCGACTGTACATGTTTTTACGACCTTACTCAGTATAATAATGTTTCTAACGCCAATAATGTTAAATTGGATTTAGCTTTTTCAAACTACCCCAACATGTCTATATCAAATAACATGTCACCTCTAACTAACGTTGATAGCCATCACCCTGCTCTGTTGATTGATCTTTTTGTTGACACAGTGGGAGATAATGTATCGGATCTGCAACTCTTCAGGTATAATTTTCATAAAGCTGACTACGATTTGTTGAATGATTACTTTGAATCTATTGATTGGAGCTTTTTGTATTGTAATAATATCAATAGTGCCCTCGAAATGTTTTATACAGTTTTATACATTGCAATTGACCTACATGTTCCAAAAACTAGAGTCTCAACTTTAAAATATCCTAATTATTTTTCAAGAGGAACGATTGCTTTGATTAATAAGAAAAACAAAGCCTTTAAGAAATATAAACACACTAGATTAACTTATGATGAGTGTCATTACAAAATACTTAGGTCACAATCGAAGGCTTCCATTAAGAAAGACCATGATGTTTTCGTTCAGACTGTACAAAATAATATCTTGAACAACACTAAAGCATTCTGGTCTTACATAAAAACTCAACGCAGCACAGCTGGCTATCCTGTGAAAATGAGTTTTAACAATGTACATTCAAGCGATCCCAAGATCATCGCAGATTTTTTTGCAGATTTCTTCCAGTCTGTATTTACTGTACCCGACCCTGCAGTCACTAAAAACCCATTTCCATGTTCTATCAACAATATGGTCCTTTCTAACATAGAGATTAACAGTGATATTGTACTTAAGAAACTTATCGGACTGGACGAGAAAAAAGGAGCAGGACCAGATGATATTCCTCCAATTTTTGTGAAGAACTGCTGTCCAACTTTGACGTCACCACTTAGTTACCTGTATCGGCTATCTCTCGATTCGGGTCAGTTCCCGAACCTCTGGAAATCTGCCTATGTAACTGCAATATTTAAGGGGGGTGTCAGGGGAGACATATCCAACTATCGCCCCATATCTGGCCTTGATTGTATGTCCAAGGTCCTGGAATCTATTGTCGTTGACGAGCTTCTGTCAAATCTTTACAACAGTCTTTCAGAAACAGCGTTCATGCCAGACGAACTTAGGTGTTTATTCCCATTATTTGTCTACCTCTATTGACTCTGGGGGTCAGGTTGATTCGATCTATTTTGATTTTAAGAAGGCCTTCGACAGAGTAGATCATGTTATGCTCCTCAATAAACTAGAGTCATTCGGCGCCACAGGCCCTCTTTTATCTTGGGTTGCAAGTTACCTCCAAAACCGAACACAGCTCGTTAGGATTAGGGGAGCTGTATCTAGAGAAATTGTAGTCACATCTGGTGTACCCCAGGGGTCACATTTGGGCCCTATTTTGTTTCTTGTTTTCATTAATGACCTTGCCAGCGCATTCACCAATTGCAAATTTCTCTTCTGTGCTGACGATCTCAAAATTTTCAGAAACATCACTTGCAGCCATGACTGCTCACTTCTACAGTTGGAGATCGATAAGATATCAGAATGGTGTACGTTAAATGGAACTGAACTAAATACTTCCAAATGCAAGATAATATCGTTTTCACGGAAAAAAGCGCCCATCCTGCACTCCTACTTTATTGCACGTTCCATTCTGCCAAGAGTAGATCTACTCTTAACGATTTGGGAA